CCGGGAGGCACCGAGGTGGCTGCGGCTGGTGGCACTGGGGGCCCTCGCTGGGCGGCCGGGGATGTTCCAGAGAGTGCAATGGCCCCCGCCATGCAGCCGGCCGAGATCCAGTTTGCCCAGCGGCTAGCGTCCAACGAGAAGGGGATCCGGGACCGGGCAGTTAAAAAGCTGCGCCAGTACATCAGCGTGAAGACGCAGAGGGAGACAGGTGGGCGCCAGCGGTCAGCGCGCCGCGCACATGGCGGGCCGGAGCTGGCTGTGTCAACCGGGAGGGCCCGGCGGACTGGGGGCACAGGGCGCTCCCCTAAGCGAGGCGGAACCCCTGGGAAAACGGCCCGGGGGCGGCGCTCGCAGGCAGAGGAGCAAAAAGAGAGGATTGGGGCTTCTGTTTCAGTTACGTGCAATATAATTCCTGACATCCATCGCGTGCTTCGGTGTCTCCAGCACTGTGGTGATTGACCGCTTACTTATTGCGTGCAGTACCATTTTACAGTTGAGACTGGGACCGAGAGGGGTTAAGTAACTTTCTGAGAGTCATACTAAGTTAGCGCGGGAGCGAAGATGAGAACCAAGTCTGTCTGATTGCCCAGCCAGCTCTTGGAATCATTAGACTCAGTCAGATATATTCTGGTGTTCCCTTCATTGATTCATGCTTTCATTTAACCAACACCTTTAGGGGCTGAGGATCATACAGGACAGTGGATGAAGAGTCCCTACCCAAAAACAACTTTTCCTTGTAAAACTAGAAAAAAAATAAAACTTGTTTAAGTGTAGTGAGTCAAACAAAAATAAGGTAATATGATAGAAAAAAGGAAAGAGGGAGCTCCTCTACACAGGTTGTCCCAGGAAGGCCTCTGAAAAGAGATGAGGAAGCCATTTATGCAAAGAGGCAGAAAGAGCTCAGCCTGCCCCATGCATTAATGCCACTGCCCAGGAACAGTGGATCAGTCTGTGCAAAGAAGAGTAAGTAAGGGAAAGTGAAGGTATCATAAGATGAAGTTGGAAATGGAGGCAGTGGCCAGATCACACAGGGCTTTTTAGTTTACATTTTAATTGTATAGGGTTCTGTTGGAGGAGTTCATTTATCTAATAACAAAATATACTCCTGTAAACCCTGGAATGGAAGCTGCAATGTGCAGTAGAGATTTTATGTTGCACTAAGATAAAGTTTGATTTCTTACTGCTGCTACTAATGCATTTAGGATCTGCATGAAAGAATAAGTATTAGCTATCCCTTCACTTAACCAGAAGGCTGGCGGTTCAAACCCACCAGCCACTCCCCGGAAGGAAGATGGGGCAATCTACTTCCGTAGTGATACTGCCCTGGAAACCCAAGGAGGGGTCGCTATGGGTCAGGTCTGACTCAACGGCACATAACAACAACAACAACATCCCTTCACTGACATGGTTAGGTGCTGTTGAGTCAGCTTCAGTTTATAGCAACCCTGTGTACAACAGAACGAAATACTGTCTGGTGTTGTGCCATCCTCACTCCTTGCTATGCTTGAGCTCATCATTGCAGCTGTCATTGTGTCACTCTCATTGAGGGTCTTCCCCTTTTCCACTGACCGTCTACTTTACCAACCATGATATCCTTTTCCAGGGAATGCCCCCTTCTCATATCATGATGAAAGTAAGTGAGACGAAGTCTGGCCATTCTCGCTTCCATGGAGCACTCCAGCTGCACTTATTCCTGGGCAGATTTGTTCATTCTTCTGGCAGTCCAGTAGCTCAGAGTGCCCAAAACTGACTCATTTTTCTTCCCTCAAAAACTATTCTGTTCTGCTGCTGCTCCTCCACCTCCTGTGCTATCTTGTTTTGGTTGCTGGTTCCCCCTGTCCTCATACTTTGTAGTTGGACATAGGGTATTATCCTGGACTGTTCTCTTTGCTTGTCACACCACACATACACACACACACACCCCATGTCTCTTGGTTCTAGTTTTTCACCTCCTTAATTACTCCACCCTTAACCATAAACGAAAAAGAACTGTGGCTGTCAAGTCAATTTCAACTCATAGTGACCCTGTAGGGCAGAGAGAACTGCCCCATTGAGTTTCCAAGGCTGTATATCTTTACGGGAGCAGACTGCCACAACTTTCTCCCATGGAATGGCTCGTGGGTTCAAACTGCCAACCTTTTGTTTGGCAGTCAAGTGTGCCACGAGGGCTCCATCCCATCAGGGTTAGCATACTGCCCACTTCTTTCTATCTCCATTTATATAACCTTTGAACCTGCCCTGCACAAGCCAGTAATCTTCCTAAAACAAATCTGATTGCATCTACCTGTGTTGGAACTTGGAGTTCCCCCTTAGCTCCACCTAACTGCTTCCTGCTCTGTCAACAAGCTATTTGTGGTTCTTCACGTGCAACCCACCTCTGGTCTTCCTTCTCCTGTTTGCTCTGCAAAGATCTCACCCTCTTTCTTCTCCCAGCATTCACTTCAGTATCACTTCCACCAAAAGCCTACTCTAATCATTGTACCCCCACTCCTTATGATTCTGAAGTACTCACTATACCTCTGTTGTTGTACTTTAGCTATATTGCATCTTAGTGAGCTGTTGATGTGCCATTCTTTCCCCTTAAAACACTGTAAGCATCGTTTTCTTAGCTGGAAGTCAGAGCAAGTTCAGCTGTGCAGGAGCCTGGCCATGCACAAGAGCAGAAGAGAGGCCCAGATGCACTGTAAGGTAGTGCTGTGGAATGGGTCTTAGTAGTTGGCCAGACAGAGCCTGTTGTTCAGACCCCACCAGGCCCAGAGTCTGCCAGATGCTAAAGTGATACAGGGGCACACAAGGCCAATTGGTTTGTACCCACTGCCCAGTATTCAGCCCAGTTGGCACCTATCCTGTCTAGATTCACTTGTGTTGTCTCTGTTTTCACTTCCATATCCACGATAGGTATTGGCCTTCAAAGAATAACTGCAAAGTGAATGTCCTGGCACAGGGATAATGAGGCAGGAGCAGAAAGATCTTTGCCCCAGCTACCAGTTGCCATTGAGTCCATTCAGACTCATGACAACCCCTTGTGTTTCATAGTAGAACTGCGCTCCATAGGGTTTTCGATGGCTATAGCTACTATGGTAGAAACACATGTTTAGAAATAAATTGACCTGGCTATTGTATCTTCTTTTTTTTTTTTTTTTTTTTGTATCTTATGCTGGGCATAGTAAAGGAAATCTGAAGTTTTACTCATATTCATGTAGCTGTCCACCAGCAGGGGTCTTTGAGAAGCTGCAAGCAACTGACTGTTGCCCTGGTGCTTTCACTGTTCAGTTTAGGTGTTCACGGTCATAGAATGATCATTGTCCTTGGTTTAAGTTCCTCTTGTCTAGACCTATTCATTCAGATATTCAGCAAACATTTATGGGGTGCCTGCTGTGTGCTATTAATGTCCATTATTTTTGGCATTGGGGATACAGCAGTGAACAAACAGATAACATTCCCTGCTTGTTTTTATCTATTCTGCAACGTTTTTTTCTTTTACATTTATTATCTCTTAATATTGAGATGCATCTTATAACCAACCTGTGACAGTTTTGTGTGAATCATTGTTTTCTTTTTGGCAGTACATAAAGTAACCCTGTATCTTAAAACAGGTGATGTCCTGAATTCAGTGGGGATGATGGAGGAATATCAGTGGTGCTGATAGTGTTAGAATCATCTCAACCCAATGATACGACAAATAGGAGTTGTGGCTGTTGTGGCAGCAGAGTGGGCTAGAATATAAAACATCGCCCCATTTGAAATGCCTTCTGTGCTCATTTCATGGTGAGAATAGCTGTTGGGTTTTCTCATTTCAAAGCTTTTTGGTGTTTACTCTGCCCACATATCTCACTTTGATGTTTGCTTCATTCATTTAAAAATAACTGAACCTGTCAGAACCTTAGTTGTAGTTCTGGCCCCAAGAAGAAAAGGCAGATTAAAAGGCCACTTCAGATAATGTGTTTCCCCCTTTCTGAGTTTTGAAAGATATTAACTAATGAGCATTTCTCTGTTTTGCTTTAAATGCTTTAAAAATTTGGCACCTTGTTTTTACTAACTAAATTGCTGGGAGGGGGGAACAAGTAATTATTACACATACATTGAAAGTGGATGTTTTGAAGGAAAAAAGCTTCAACAGAATATGGATGGAGAAACTGAGATAATCGTTATAATAGTATCCACCAAGCGAATAGTGCTTTTACTCTTAAAAAATGCTTCTTACATATGCCCTTAATTTTCACCTTCTTGTTGTTGTTGTTTGCCGTCGAGTTGGCCCCGACTCACAGCGACCCCTCCCTGGGTTTCCGAGGCAGTATCACTACGGAAGTAGGATTGCCCAACCTTCCTTCCGAGGAGTGGCTGGTGGGTTTGAACCGCCAACCTTCTGGTGAGCAGTCAAGTGCCTTAGGCACTATGCTACCAGAGCTCCCAATTTTCACCTTAACCTTATATAATAGTACAGGTATAAGTACCCTTACCCTTATCCTTACATAATAGTACAGGTGAGAAAACTGAAACCTAAAGATTAGTTGTCAGTTTTCTAACACTGCACACTGGGGCTCAACCACAGGCTTATTTCCCCTGTGCTTTGCTGCTGCCTCTAGAGATGAAACAGCTAGAATATGTATTTGCATCCAACTCCTGCCTGCCATCACTTTGTCCAAATCTAATTTTCCATTATAAAAGCCTCAGCATAAGACATCATATTATACCTTTGCTTTTAGCCAGGGATCCCAAAACCCATTGCCGTCAAGTTGATTCCAACTTATAGTTACCCTATAGAACAGAGTAGAACTGCCCCATAGACTGATCTTTATGGAAGCAGACGCCCACTTCTTTCTCCCATGGAGTGATTGGTGGGTTCAAACTACGGACCTTTTGGCTAGCAGCCCAGTGCTTAACTGCTACACCACAAGGGCTCCTTGATCCAAAATTAGTGGGTTTATAATGTCACTTAGAGTTGATTTTCATATACTGATGCACTTGTTATTTTCGTTATGTGCCATCGAGTCGAACCCGACTCATAGCAACCCCTCCTTGGGTTTCCGAGGCAGTGTCACTACAGAAGTAGGATTGCCCAACCTTCCTTCACTAATGCACTTAGAAAAGCCAAATAAATGTTGTTTTTGTCATGTGCTGTCGAGTCGTCTCCAGCTCATAGCAATCTTACATACAACAGAATGAAACACTGCCCAGTCCTGTGCCAGCCTCACAATCCCTACCATACCTGAGCCCATCACTGCAGCCACTGTGTCAATCCATCCTGTTGAGGGACTTCCCCTCTTTTGTTGAACCTCCACTTTACCAAGCATGACATCGTTCTCCAGAGAATGGTCCCTTCTGGTGACATTACCAAAGTAGATGAGATGAATTCTGGCCATCCTCACTTCCAAGGAGCATTCCAGTTGCACTTCTTCCAGGACAGATTTGTTAGTTGCTTTAGCAGTCCACAGTACTTCCAGCACTCTTCTCCAACACCAAAACTCAAAAGCATCAACTTTTTCGGTCTTCCTTATTCATTGTCCGGCTATCATATGCATATGAGGCAATTGAAAATACCATGGCTTAGTTAGGCCCACCTTAGTCTTCAAGGAGACATCTTTGCTCTGCAGTGCTTGAAAGAGATCTTTTGTAACAGATTTGCCCAATGCAATACATCTTTTGATATCTTGACTGCTGCTTCCATTGGTGTTGATTGTAGAACCAAGTAATATGAAGTCTTTGACAACTTGAGTCTTTTCTCCGTCTATCGTGATGCTGCTTATTGGTCCAGTTGTGAGGATTTTTATTTTCTTTATATTGAAGTGTAATCCATATTGTAGGAGCTCTGGTGGTGTAGTGCCTAAGGCATTTGACTGCTAACCAGAAGGCTGGCGGTTCAAACCCACCAGCCACTCCTCGGAAGGAAGATGGGGCAATCTACTTCCGTAGTGATACTGCCTCAAAACCCAAGGAGGGGTCATTATGAGTCAGGTCCGACTTGACGGCACAACAACAACAACAGCAATTCATACTGTAGACTGTAGTCTTCAATCTTCATCAGTAAATGCTCCAAGTCATCCTTACTTTCAGCAAGCAAAGTTGTGTCGTCTGCTGTCTCAGGTTGTTAGTAAGCCTTCCTCCAATCCTGATGCCACATTCTTCATATAGTCCAGATTCTTAGATTATTTGCTCAGCATATACCTCAACCTCATTGCTGTTGAGTTGAATTTGACTCATAGCGGCCCCTCCTTGGGTTTCCAAGGCAGTATCACTATAGAAGTAGATTGCCCAACCCTCCTTCCGAAGAATGGCTGGTGGGTATGAACCGCCAGCCTTCTGGTTAGCAGTCAAATGCCTTAAGCACTATGCCACCAGAGCTCCTGCTCAACATATACACTGTACTATTTTTTAAAAAGGAGCCCTGGTGACACAGTGGTTAAAGCACTCAGCTGCTAATCAAAAGATCAGCGCTACAAACCTATAGCCACTCCCTGGGAGGAAGATGTGGCAATCTACTTTGGTAAAGATTACAGGCTTGGAAAGTCTATGGGGTAGTTCTGCTCTGTTCTATAGAGTCACTGGAGGTGTAATCAACTCAACAGCACACAATAATGTATTATTTTTAAATGGAAAAGGCAGAAATGCAGAGTAATAGAATATCATGCCATTTAAGTTACACACGCACACAAGTATGCATTTTTGGAATCCTTCATACCATGTAAGTATGTACAGGTACATAGAAAAAGATATGGAAAGATTCACATTCCTCAGACAACAGTGGTTCCTCTTGGAGGGGGCTGGGATTCAGGAGGCAGTAAGCAAGCCAAACTCTTGATTGTATACAATCATACTTGATTGTATGTGAATTTATTTATTTTTATTTTATTTTATTTTGCAGTAAAAATGTTTTTATTGGTTAGGACTCTTTCATTTGCAACTTTGGATAACATCCAAGCCACACTAGTTTTGAGGGGACTGATGAAGGACAGCATTGTGCAGGAGTGCACCAATGACCCAGAACCCAGTTTTTCTCTGTCCTTAGACATCCCCCTCATCATGTGGCCAAGTGGCTCAGCACACCTCTGTACTTCATCTTCCCTTCCAGTCAAGGATCTTCATCCTTAAGGGGTCAGTGATCCATTCCTGGACCAGTCCTTCTGCCAAGGATTGGCCTCCCCTCCATAAGGAGTGAGCTTGCCCAGTTCATTGCCCCCCACCATAGAGCACCCAGTGGGGGTGACGATGTATGTAGCTGCTCGGCCAACATCAGGAGTGCCCAGTACTTGAGCCTCATGCTGTATTGATCCTCTGTTGCTTTTAAGTCCATCACCTGTTTATGCCTTTCTAGTTTCCAACAAAGAAAGAAAGAACACAGCCTATGGTCATACTTTAGTGGTTTCATGCTGTCTTTTTTTATCTTTTTATGAAGAAAAATTTCAAATATGAAACACTTATGAGTCAGCTTTAATATTTATCAATATTGGGCCCATTTGTCTAGTCTCTAACTTGCCTCTTCCTCCTCCCCACTGGATTATTGTGAACAAATCCCAACTACTCATTTCATTTCCACAGGCTTTACTATGTAGCTCTGAAAGAAGACTTCTGTTTTTTTGTTGTTTTTTTAAATCACAGTACCATTATCACACCATTTTAAAAATTCCTTAAAGTCATGAAAGATCCGATTTGTTCCATTTTGTCAGTTCTCTCATATATTTCTTTTGTGATAAATCAGAAGCCAAAAAGACCCACTATCCCATTTGATTGCTATCTCCTAAGAATCTCGAATTCCATCGGTTCCTTTCATCTTTTTTTCTTTTTTCTTTTTTTTTTTTTCCTTGCAATGTATTTGTTGGAGGGACTCAGTCATTTATCCTGCAGACGTTCCCTGTTTGGGGCTTGTGGATTGCATCCCTGGTCTCATGTAATATGTTCCTCTGCCACCTGTGTCTCCTGTAAACCAGTAGTGATCAACTTGACGTGATTGGTTGGCTCTTTGTGGTTCAGGAGGGGCTCTGCCGATTGCTTGGTTGCCTTGCCAAGGACTTTGCCCATAACTTGGGAGGTTGATTCTTCACAGCCCAAACCAAACCAAATGCACTGCCATGGAGTTGGAGCCAACTCATAGCAACCCCTCCTTGGGTTTCTGAGGCAGTATCACTACGGAAGTAAATTGCCCAACCTTCCTTCTGAGGAGTGGCTGGTGGGTTTGAACTGCCAGCCTTCTGGTTAGCAGTCAAATGCCTTAGGCACTATGCCACCAGCGCTCCTTCTTCATACCCACTTCAACTTAATGAACTCTTACATTTCTTGTAGGATTTGCAATTCTACTTCACAAGATCGATGAAAACGTTGGTGTGGGTGCAATGTTAGTTGAGCAGGGAAGGACACTTGAGGGAAAACTAATTTTGTAAATGGGTAGTTCATGGGTTAATTTTTGGTTGTTGTAATGGCGGTAATTCTGATATTACTCAGATAATGAGGACATGATGCTAGCAACCTCCTGCCCCGGCGCTGGTAAAGCTGCACATGCTGTAGTCATTTGCATGTGTCTGCTTTATAGTAACGAGGAAATGTGTGCTTCCAGATTTTTTAAAAGAAGTCCTTGCAGGGAGAGAAAATTGGAGTGTACATGGTATTATTCTCACTGTTTGTTTATGTGGCAGTTCTAAACTTTCAGAAAGGAAATGTGTAGACTTTAAAACTAGGTTTTTTGTGCTATTTCACCCTCTAGGAGGCTTCAGCCAAGAAGAACTTTTAAAAATATGGAAAGGGCTCTTTTATTGTATGTGGGTGCAAGATGAACCTCTCCTACAGGTAATATGCATTTCCCTTTGTCAGATTACTACAGTTTGGGCATGCATGGCTAAAAGAGACTTGATTGTCTTGTAACTCTATCAGTCCCCTAATTTGAGTCAATTCCATCTCATAGCAACCCTGTAAGGCAGACTAGAACTTTCTAGCCCCTTAAGGTTCTCAAGACTGTAATCTCCACAGAAGTACACTGCCACATCTTTCTGCTGCAGAGTGGATAGTAGGTTCAAACTGCTGACCTGTTGGTTAGCAGCTAAACACTTAACCACTGCACCTCCAGAGTTCTTTCAGTCCTGTAATGTACCCAAGCAAATAGAGAATCATTGCTTCAGTGACTGTCTTCACCTCTCATCCATATTTTTGAAAGCAGTGTCAAAGTGTTGAGGTTGACTGTTTTATCAAATAGTGACATATACATATAAAGCACAGGTTTATTATTTCTCTGTCACAATTTTATGGGTTCCATGGTGGATTTTTATATTACTTACTTTGAAATTTCTATTTCATCTTTGTTTAAGTTTATTGTTCATAGCCAAAAATAGCACAAAAGAGTAGTAGTAAGATCCTGGAGAGGGGAGGCCAGAACTCTAGCCCATCCACCTATGCTACAGCTTACGTGGGTAACCAGGGGCACAGCAGCCACCTTGCTGGGTGCTGAGTTCTTTGTAAAGTAAGCAGCAGGCCCTCACAGTCAATGCTGCTTCTGACTCAAAGCTCAGTGGAGCCGTCACGCATGAATTAAAACAAGTGTGTGTGCTGTGTCCATTTCCTGAATTCTCTGAGCCTGCCACCTAAACAGTCTAAGAAAGTACTTTTCAAGGAATGGTTGGTTCTGCTGCATACAAGCAGGTCTGCCTTTGTCAAAGTGGAGGAATGGTCCTTAAGGACACCACATGAATACCTCTGTTCATGAGGAGATTACACTTTTCTGGGTTTTGTTGCACAGCCTTGCCACACACACCCCCAAGCCATGCAGTCATGTGGTTGGGTTTATTGCTTCTATTCCTGTGAGCATATTTTGAGTAGGATAGCAGGGCAAAATATTTTTAAATTACACTTAAAGTAACAAGCCAACAGCTTTAGTGGAGAAAGAAAATAGATGAGGGAAACATCATTTTGAAGTTGGCGAGTTCCTATTAAACGGGTAGGGAAAATTTGAGGCTAGGTGAAGTGCCAGTAATACCACTAAGAATCATTCTTTTCTGATGTAACTTCATAAAGAAAATTCCCCTGTTGGACACTCCCCATAGCAGGTCCTTTCATGGACCGAGATCCAGAATTCTCCCCACAGGTGAGCCCTACCATCTCAGCATGCCAGGCTCTGCCAGTTGCACTCTTGCCCAGGACAGAACCACCTTGAAGGGCATTGCATAACCATTGCTTCCCAAATGCCCTGTCATTCCCACCTACCACTGACCAAATCAAGAGTTGAGTCTCATGAAGCGAGAATCCCCAGTTTCTAACCCCAGTCAAGTCGGCCCTTTGCCTTCTGGGCCTGAGGTTAGGTGGGAGACTACAGTATAATCTCAGTTTAAGTACTAGTATATTTTAAAGCAAGGAACTGATTGCTGATTTACAAGAATCCGAGCATTTGAACTGATAGAGATGCTTTTTTTTAACATGCAGCTTTACTCTCAGAGGCATATAAAGTTGACATAGTAGTTCATCGAAATTGGGAATTCACATTGGATGCAATTCACATTCCCGTTACTCGTTTCTTAGTGGAAGTGACATGGAAAATAAAAGGGACAGATTTCCCACCAGCTGGTACAGGAGGAAGAAGGCCATGGTGCTGTCATCTCAGTGTTGCACCTAATAATCCCAGTGTTTTCCCCTACCCGCCCCTGCAGGAGGAGCTAGCAAACACGATATCCCAGCTCATCCATGTTGTTAACAACTCAGAGGCGCGTAAGTCTTGGCTTTTTCATGGCTTTCAAAACTTCCTTGGTTATCACATTTGGTAACTTTCTAGGAAACCTACTCAGTAATATGTCTGTCCTTCCTTCAAAATTGGAGTTTCCAAGTGTGCTAGTTTAACACAGGGAACCTAGTGCTGATAATGTGTAAACAGATGGTAGGCAACAAGCTGTTCCCTGTTAAAAAATTATGATAAAATTGGATGTTGACTTGGTACATGGGTGAGAAAGAATGTCTAGTAAAGTCTCATACTTAATATCTCAAAGACTTTAGAAAATGCTTAAAGAAATAAAATCCTCCAGAACCTCGGAATTCTTAACTGTTTAACCCTCTGAGGTTGCATGTACATGTGCTAGCATTCGCATACCTCAGGATGCTGGGTTATCCTCCCCAACGTAAGAGCCATGGAAGGGCATCATTAGTAAAGCTATAAAGTACCTTCTCTTTACCAAAAAGAATAAATAAAGGGGAAAATTAAGAGATTTCTGGAATGTTCAGGCTTTGATTATGCACAAAGGAAGAAAAAGCCAGCGTAATTTGTTTGTTCTGACTAGCACTCCTCCAAACAAAAACAAAACCATCCCAATGGTTTTAATAACTTTCAGTCGTTGTCTGAATTTTAGCAGGGTTTCAGCTAGTAGTGATGAACAAATTTCTACAAATAGAGTGTAATATAGATTTAGAAATATCCAAAATGACTTGTGGCAAAAAAAAAAAAAAAAGTAAACCAATAAAAACTCAACAAACAGGAAAAATTTTTGAATGAAAAAGTGCTAGCTCTTCTAGAGATAGCTAGAACATTTTGTGCTACAGTCAATCCAGCTGATAAATAACATCAGACAAAAAGCTGAGACTCTATGTGGATCATATAAGTATTCGTCACAATTAATGGTTTTGAATGGATTGTTAGGTAAAAGTGTGGTGGAAAGGGCCAGCAAGCAGATACCCTTTGGAGCAGAAAATATTTGGATTTTAATAGAAACATGCTTAGCAGTGAACAAAGAAACACTCCACAGGGCCTTATAATTGAACATGAAGATAATACCTGACTTTGCGTTACTGTAGAAATATGCTTTTATTTAAATGTAAAAAATTTTGAGCATATTTACTTATTGGCCAAAGTTTCTAGATGCCCAAGATTCCTGAGAAAAATAAATGATAAATAATAATAGTTTCTTTCTCTTCATTTTTTTCTTGCTGTATGGTGACATGTTAATGTGAAAACTAAGTACTTAAAGACTTTTATTCACTGCAGAGCACCTGTTCATTCAGACCTTTTGGCAAACCGTGAATCGAGAGTGGGAGGGGATTGACAGGCTGCGCCTGGACAAATACTGCATGGTAAGATTGGAGTGGCTTTTTGTCCGAGTTCACATGAAAAGCCCATGTGAAGAAAAGAATTTTCAGCATCTTAGAAACAATAGAAAGGTTCACTTAGGAAGCAAAGCAAGTTCCATGTGGGAGGAAAGGGTGCATGCTCATTAGGGATACCGCGTGGCTTCCTGTTTTGGCTCCTCAGCTGCTTTGGGAGTGGGCTTGAGGGTCATTCAACCAAAAAGACCAAACCCATTGCCACAGAGTCTATTTCAACTCAGAGCAACCCTACAGGACAGAGTAGAACTGCCCCATATGGTTTCCAAGCTGTAAATCCTTCGGAAGCAGACTGCCACATTTTTCTCCTGCACAGCCACTGATGGGTTCGAACCATCAACCTTTTGGTTGGCAGTAGAACATTTTAACCACTGCGCCACCAAGTTTCCTGGGGTCATAGTTAATATATTGATCTAGAAGTTAAATATTATTGTGGATATTTTCCCACTTGTAGGACTTAGGCTGCACCAGTTGCATTGCTCTTCTGGTTCCGCTAAGTTGTGTGGTATTTCTTACCCTTTCATAACCAAAATCCTTTCTCTGCAGCTGACCCGTCTAGTTCTAAGGCAGTCCTTTGAAGTGCTGAAGCGAAATGGCTGGGAAGAAAGGTTGGTATATTTTGCATGAGCATTTGGTAGCCTTAAAGCTTTTAGGATAGTAGATTGTTTTCACATTAATCGATTAGCTAATGTTAATTGTCTGCTCTGGGCCCACCACTGTTGAGTACTATGAGAAACAAAAGCCATCTTTACCCATAGGGAGCTTGAAACCCAGTAGAGACATAAAGTAGTGAAGCATGGGTAACAATGAACATTTTATACTGATTGAAGTGACTGTTTTTTTTCCTTTGGTGACCTGTTAGCTTTGCTTTTTTAATATATTTTTGTTGAAAACATGCACAACAGAATATACACCAGTTCAACAATTTCTACATGTGCAATTCAGTAACATCCATTGCATTCTTCAGGTTGTGTAACTATTCTCATCTTCCTTTTCCAAGTTGTTTCTCCCCAATAAGTTGCCTATATAGTATTTCGAGTTACTGTTTTCAATTTAATCCCATATAGATGGATCTTAAGAGTATAATAAGACTCTGGGGGTTATTTGTGGTTTTAGATTTAAAGCTTATTTCAAGACAGTACTCTGAGTGGTCCACCCCCCTCCATAGCTTAGCGTTGCATTTTTAATTGACTGTTGTGCATTCGATTGTTACTCAATGTAGGCACTAGACTGAATATTACTGATTTCTCTTGGAGAAAAGAGAAATGCTGACACACTGAGGCTAATGGACCCATATATATATGTTTTTCCCTAGCCAAATCAAGCTTTTTCTAGATGTCTTAATGAAGGAGATCTTGCATCCTGAGAGCCAGTCTCCAAATGGAGTGAAGTTCCATTTCATTGATATTTACCTGGATGAACTGTCCAAAGTGGGAGGGAAAGAGGTGAGAGGATATCAGACATCCTACTAACCATGCAACGAAGCCACAACTAACTTGAATAGGAGTTGGGTTGGCTCTCTTGTGATTGTCTAGATGAGTTGTTAATAAAATGCTGTTTGTCAGCATTTAACATGACTGGTGACAGCAGCAGCAGAAATTGTTTCCGACTGTCTGTCCTTTAGCCCAGAGTTCCTGCATAGTACAGTAACTTAGCACTTAGCTGCTAACCAAAAGGTTGGAGGTTTGAGTCCACGTAAGGCAAGTCAGAAGAAAGGCCTAGCAATCTACTTCTGAAAATTCAGCCATTGAAAACCCTATGGAGCCATTCTTCTCTGACACATTTGGGATGGCCATGAGTCAGAAGTGACTTGCTGACATCTAGTTTGGTTCTTTTTTAAAATCTAATGGCCCAGTTAGTGCCCTGCTAGGAGTACACCCTAAACAGCGAGTAGAACATATGGACAGAGACCTGTGCACGGACGATGTATATTGTAATCTTACTAATAAAGCAGAACTAGAAGCAGCCTACACAGACCAATAAAGAATTTGTTAGCAGGGAGAAATGCTCATGGTACATTGAGTTTTTTTAATAGCAGTAGGAAAAAAGGCAGTAGACAAAACCACATAAATGGCATGATCTTCTTTAAAGTATAGCTTCATATATGAACAGTCAACAGAGCTAGAATGAAAGCATACCTTTCTTAGCATTTTTATCTGAATTTGGGGTTAATGGTTTTTACTTTTGTTCCCTCAAAAGTATTCTACAGCAAACATGTTTTTATTTGTTTTTTTGTAAAGACTATATAGATTGCATGTTAAATAATTGATTTGTCTTATACTTTCAGATAGAATAGAATGTTTCCATAGAATAGGGCATATATTCACTGAGAAAATATACAGTAGTGCTGTTTGGATTGGGCAGGTATCTCTGGGGTGCTGTGCTGGGATAGCCGAATGTCTGGAAGCTCTGTGGGACTTTGAAACGGAGCTCCAGATATCTGTGGGTTGACATGCACAGCACATTCCGGACTGTGTGAAAGAGGCATTACTCAGCCTAATTCCACTTGTGTGACAGTTCTGACAGTTCCATTGTCAAGGACACGTCAGAAAGAATAAAATGCTCTTTTCTCACTTCTTCCCAATTTTATTTCTAAATTACAGCTTCTCGGCAATCAGAATCTCAAGTTTATTGATCCATTCTGCAAAATTGCTGCCAAGACTAAGGAGTGAGTGATTCATATTTTCATTTTTACTGCTTCAATTGGTGCTTAATTGTGAAAGATGCAAAAGGTTTTCCATTGTGGAATGTGCTGTGAGGTACCTGTAATGGTTTTCCAAAGCTAAGAGGAATCACCTTCTTCATTGCCACTAGTGAGATGTTTGGGGTTTTCAGAAAGGAGTGGGCTTTTCTGGCTTCAGGGTTTGGCCCCAGTCTTACCAGAAGCCAGGCCCTCCTGCTTCTCTTCCACACACACAGCCCTGTCTGCCATCTGTCCCCAGCCCCATCCACAGCTAGTTATTGGCTCCTGGCAGCCACAAGTGATGAGCATATACATCATGCTTAAGAGTATAGGTGCTTGCTCACCTGATGATCAGTTAGACCAGGTATGATGTAGACCAATGGGACATGCAGTGGCTCTCCCCTAGTTCTCCCTCAGCACTCCTTTAACTACCACAGCCCAGGCCATTTATCTTAATCCCATTCTCTGTTGTGCTTCCTCCTTCAGCCATACATTGGTCCAGAGGATAGCTAGGGGTGTTTTTGAAGTCATTGTGGATCAGTCTTCTTTTGTACCTGAAGAGATGGTGGAGGAACAGAGAACCAAAGTGGGTGATGGCGAGTTCTCTGAAGAAGAGATCTCTGAGAATGAGATGATGTGGAGAAAAACAATCAGCAAAAAGAAGACAGGTTCGAGAATTTCCTTGAAAGGTCATATTTTTCCCAGGTTAAATCCTCATCAAACCCAAAAATGCTTTTTAATACATTTGGTGGAATCTCACTTGTAACAACCTAGAATTCATAGAAGATGATTCTCCTATAGATATCCCCCTTCCCCCACAAGGAAAAAAGCAGAGGTATAGTCAGATACCTGTGCCTGTCACAGGCTCCTGTAGGGAACCCCTGAGTCCAGTTACGCTGCAATCTACACATGCGTCTGCATCTTTTGGGGCTTCCACCAAAGATTTTGTTGTTAGAGCTGTTGGATTGTGAAGTTTTCATGTGTTTTAAGTATCCTGATGTGGACTTAGGAGCTGGTACCACACTGTCTAAGGCATTTGACTGCTAATGAGAAGGCTGGCTGTTCAAACCCACCAGCCATTCCTCAGAAGGAAGGTTGGGCAATCTACTTCCATAGTGATACTGCCTGGAAACCCAAGGAGGGGCTGCTATAAGTTGCATCCAACTTGCCGGCAGTAAGTTCGTTGTGGATTTGTTCCTCTATGGAAGACCTGAAATTAACAGTTATACTCCAAATGGACACTACCTACTTATCAAATGATCTCACAACTTCCTTCAGTTCTTTTCCTTGGGATATTTAAACGTCTACCATGGACTTCTGTGCAATCTGAGTCTTTGAAGTTACAGCTCATCAAAGCTCCCCTAGTGATTTGCAGCATCTCAGTGCTTAGCATCACACATAGGGCTCAATTAGAGGATACTGTGCTTAGAAGTATTATACAGCCATCAGAGAGCAAAGATTTCAAAAACTAATAAACAAGGGAAATTTAATAAAACTGGGGTGGGGGGAGATACAAAACTATGTAGGAGCTGCCTGATTTGTTGTAAACATTTATATATCCTAAAAAAGAAAATCTGGAAAGATATATATCAAAATGCTAGTAGTTAGCCTTGAGTGGTAGAATTAATGGGTGATTTCTGTTCTATTTGTACTTTTCTAAGTTTTCTACAATGATCATGTATCACTTTTTAATCCATAAAAACACAAGTCTTTAAAAGAAAAGAATTGCTCTGATTTTTCAATTCAGTATAGGTGGCAGAGTTAACTAAATGATTTTGAGCTAATTCTGTGTGGTCCTGGAAGTTGTCTCTGGACCCCTCCTGCTTGCCAAATTTTTGTTGGTTTAAATCAGAGATGTCTCACTCTCTCCCATTTGCTGGTGCAAAGATCTCCCAGTTTCTTCATCAAATGTTTATTGAGACCTTGCTAGGTTAGACTGTGCTCTGTCTCCTCCGGACCAGGTCCTGATGCCACGGCATGCATGAGCTTACAGGGTTGCAAAAGCAGCATAGATGTGAGAAAAGTTAATAAGCTCAGATTCATGGGTTTTTGTCCCCTTCTCCTAGGCTGCTGGCACTCTTTAAATTTTAAATTTAAATTTTAAATTCTAAAAATCAGGTATTACTAACATTTTCTGAGGCAGCCACAAGGAAGTCTGGTGACATAGTGGATAAGCACTCAGATGTTCACTGAAAGGTTGACTCTTTGAACTCACTAGCTGCTCTGCAGGTGAAAGATGTGACAGTCTCCTTCTATAAAGATTATACCTTAGAAAACCTATGGGGTAATTCTACTCTGTCCTGTTAGGTCACTATGAGTCAGAATCAACTTGACAGCAACAGGATATTTTGTCTGTTTTGAAGCAGCACATGCAAAGTTAATGTTCTACTATAATAAGCTTTTACCAGGTTCCCAAATTTATATCTGAAACCAAGGATAGACTCCCGAATCCCGTTCTCCTCCTCCTCACAGTCAAGGACAGTAAGTGCCCTGACTCACTGTACAAGTTGGTCAACTCCAGCACTTCCCATTCACCTGCATGTTGACAGGGTAACATGGCTTCTCCAGACTTACCATCTGTTCCAGGAACAGCCAGAATATCTTTGGGAAATCATAAATATATTTGCAGATTTTTCCTCTTTAAAGAAACATTCCTTTTCAGTAAAAGACACTTCATTAGTTGATGGTTCTTTGGAAGTAGTCTTTGCTGTGTGAAGTCCTTTGATGTGAAGAATTTTGTCTTTGGATGTGTTTTGATAGCCCTAGGCAAGCATCACTCAAGAAAAGATGGCATCAGCAACGAGGAGAGAGACAGCTGTGGCACCTGTGAAGACCCTGGGCCACTGCTCCAGGTCAGTGGTGGTGGTGCTGCTGCTGTGTATAGAGCATTGTGTATTGGCCCAGCTAATTGGGAATTAGGGTCAAAGCTAATTAAACCTTAAGGTTGATGCTAAAGTTCCTTTTAATCCCTTCAGTCATTGAAAAGTGTCACCTTCCTAAGAGTGAGCTTATTTGAGGCAAAACAGTTTAAATCTGATGGCATTTTCAAAGTTGTCGGTCCTCTTTTCGGTTTTAATCCCTAAGATCTGCCCTAGTCCATACAACAAAGACACCTTAACTGATACTTTTCAAATTTAAATAAAGTTTACCATGCTACCAGGTCCAAACTGAAAATCCAGATTAAATGTAAAAAGAAGTACACTCAGCTTCTGAAAATAAAGACAACATGAACCTTTCAAAGATGCTGCTTGAATTTATGGTTACCAAGTGTCAGCACATGTGGGTTTAGACTGTTCTGTTGCTGAGTGCTTCCAAGATCCCAGACTGAAGGGTTGTCTGTTACTGTATATATGACCTGTGAGTGGCCTAGTCAAGCAGTGGTGCATTGCTACAGATTTATGTTTCATTTCTCGTTTTACGTAGTTTGATTATAAGGCTGTTGCTGATCGACTCCTGGAAATAACCAACAGGAAAAACATCCCTCCCTTCAACAAGAAATGTCTCTCTAAACTAATCAAAAAGTAAGTGGGTAAAAGGGTTTCGTCTGATTATTCACTTTTAAATCCAGTCCTTTTATTTATCCCATGGTACAGGACTAGCAGTCACCAGGCTTAACTTGTTCTTTGTCCTTTGATGTTTTCATTCATAACAATGTAGCCTATGCAGATAAACTGGAATGTTTAATGAAAAACAGCCACCCCCTGACCTCAAGTTTCATCTTTCAAATGCAGCCATACTCAGCCCTTGTAGCTGCTTTAGCATGATGCAAAAAGAAGTCTTTTGATAATGACTAAAACGGCTATATGTAGAGGTTGCCATGTAAATGTACCATTGAGATATTAGCTATTGGTGTGCTGTTAAGATTTGTAAGAATTTCATTCTTTTAACCTTCTGTCCCTCCTCCCAATATGGCTGTTTCAAACATGTGGTCAGTTCAGTAGTCCTTGTTAATGTCTTGATGACCATATTCCTATGATTTTGCCACAGAGCCCTGTGACATTTTATGACCAATGGCTGCTAAAAACTGAAATTGATCACATTCTTTATATGTACCAGCCTCTATTCTGAGTACTCTATACATGTCAAATCATTTCATGTTAAGAAAGGCCCTGTGAAACAGTTTCCATAATTTTCTCCGTTTTACACATGGGTTAACTGGGATATAAGGAAGGTAACTAATCTGCCCGAGATCACACAGCTATTAAGGGTAGGGCTGGAACCTTCCCCTCCTTACCACCGTCACCTCCTCTGCTCTAGAATCCTTGTACTTTGCCACATGCCACTCAGCCTGTGTGAGCTTGGTTTTTGTCCTCATGCACCAAAACTATGTATTAATAAAACACTATTTGGTATGTCTCCATTTGATAAGTGGAGAACTGAATGTAAGTTTAAGGAACAAATATGTGAAAAAAATTAATTTCATCAGTTCTGTTTGGGTGTGTGAGGACAGACTTTTCGGATTAACAGATCCTGGATGATATTTATGATAATTGAGAGTATTTTCATCTTTTACCAGTATAGCTATTTCTACATGTCACATTTTGGTGGCATTGATTATCTTCTTTAAGTTGTGCAGCTATTCTCATCTTTATTACTCTAATTTTTATTTTATTTTTTGCGGTGTGTGTGGAAGTTTAACGAGCAAGTTGGTTTTCCATTGAACAATCCATGTACATTCTATTTTGTGGCATTCGATGAAATCCCCACAATGCAACAATACTCTTCACACTTCCTCCCTTTGCCCACCACTTCCTTTTGTGCTTCCTTGCCATCCCCTCCCACCTTCCTAGCTCTGTGCCTGGGCAAATGCTGTCCTCTTGATCTCATAGTTGATTGTTCTAATGAGTGCATACCCTCCTAACCCTCATAACATCATTGTTCACCTTATAGGCCTGTCTGTCATTTCACTTTAAGTTGAGCTACAGGGGTTGAGTTCAGTTCTCAGTTTAAAGGGTATCTGAGGGCCATAAACTCAGGGGTTCCATCAGTCTTTATCAGACCAGTAAGCCTTTCTTTTTTATATATAATTTTGAGTTTTGTTCTACATTTGTCTTCCACTCTGTCCGAGACCTATTGTGATCCCTTTTGAAATGGTCTTAGTGGTAGCCGGACACCCTCTAATTCTTCTGGTCTCAGAGTTGTGGAAGCTGAGGTTCATGTGCTCCATTAGTCCTTTGCACTAATTGTTTCTTGTGTCTTTGGTTTCTTTATAATAAACTTCTTTTTCTTTTTAAAAACAGCTTTATTGAAATATAGCTCATGTAGCACACATTTCACTTACCCATCAGTTGATTTTTTTTTTATTTATTTTTTTTTTTTTTAGGATTTGGGTGAAGATGTACAGAGTAAATTCACTTTT